TGTTCAACTCAATATTCTATATGTTGTATTACTGTATAGCGTTCAACTTGTGTTCCATAGTTGTATTACTCTGTGATGTTCAACTCAATATTCTATATGTTGTATTACTGTATAGCGTTCAACTTATGTTCCATAGTTGTATTACTCTGTGGTGTTCAACTAATGTTCTATATGTTGTATTACTGTATAGCGTTCAACTTATGTTCCATAGTTGTATTACTCTGTGGTGTTCAACTAATGTTCTATATGTTGTATTACTGTATAGCGTTCAACTTATGTTCCATAGTTGTATTACTCTGTGGTGTTCAACTAATGTTCTATATGTTGTATTACTGTATAGCGTTCAACTTATGTTCCACGTGTTGTATTTCTTTAAGTTCAACTCATGTTCTATATGTTGTATTACCGTATGGTGTTTAACTCATGTGCCAGATGTTGTATTTCTTTATGTTCAACTCTTGTTCTACATGTTGTATTACTGTATGGTGTTCATCTTATATTCAATACGCTGTATTACTGTGTGGTGTTCAATTCATGTTCCACACGTTTTATTACCGTGTGGCGTTCAACTCATGTTCCACATGTTGTATTTCCTTATGTTCAACTCATATTCTATATGTTGTATTACTGTATAGTGTTCATCTTATATTCCACATGCTGTATTACTGTGTGGTGTTCAATTCATGTTCCACACGTTTTATTACCGTGTGGCGTTCAACTCATGTTCCACATGTTGTATTTCCTTATGTTCAACTCATATTCTATATGTTGTATTACTGTATAGTGTTCATCTTATATTCAATACGCTGTATTACTGTGTGGTGTTCAATTCATGTTCCACACGTTTTATTACCGTGTGGCGTTCAACTCATGTTCCACATGTTGTATTTCCTTATGTTCAACTCATATTCTATATGTTGTATTACTGGTTAGTGTTCATCTTATATTCCACATGCTGTATTACTGTGTGGTGTTCAATTCATGTTCCACATGGTTTATAGCTGTTCGATGTTCAACTCGTGTTGTATTGTAGTTCGATATACTGTACAGTGTTCACGTCAAGTTATATGTGTTGCCTAACTGTATGGTAATCCAATCAAAAATATATGTGATCACTGTATGGTGTTCAACTCATGTTCTACATGCTGTATCATACTAGTAACTATGTGGTGTTTACATGGTTTATTACAGTGCGATGTACTGTGAAGTGATCAACTCAAGTTATATTGCCTAACTGTAAGTATTCCACTAAAAATATATGTTATCACTGTATTGTGTTGTGTTCAACTCGCACTTAATATATGTATGTATTGACAGATTGTCTGCAGATCAAAAGTATAATTAATTATTTTATTGAAATAAAAGCTGATATAAAAAGAAACCCGACTTTTGTAAAGTCATTTTTTGAAATACAATAAAAATAACTGCTTCTGTGGGAGAAATGAAACAGTACAAATGACGTCAACGAATTCAACAATGTTGCTTGCATTTTAAAACTGTTTGACTATTGATGGCAAGATAGGGGGTACGTTCCAAGTGCGGGGTTGTAGCTCAGCGCATATAAAAGAGGCAATTAAAAGCCAGGGTGAACGACAGAAGTCGGATCGTCATCGACAAGCTAAGTATCTGATATAACACGCTGTCTGCTGGTACAGACACACACACATTATTAACTTTCTCTGGAGCTGAACGCGAACACACCAAGATAGGAGCAGAACTCTTGTACACTGACTGGGATCGTCATTAAATACCGATTCAAGAATCACTCTGAGTACGAGAAGTTTTTGGAGCAAATAGCGAATTTTCGAGCCTCCGCGGTTACGTTAGCAGAAATAGACAAGGTAAGAAGGGTACTTATGTTCGGGTATCTTAGAAGTTAGTATTTTTTTTTCAAGTTATTCGGATAATAATTATTGCGATTAAAAACTTGAAACGTGTAATATCAGTACACTATATACACGTAACATTGAATCATCCATGCGTTTATGGAACGAGTTAGCAAGCGTGGCGTTACCTTTGAAGCTTAACCTCGAGGAACATATGGATTAGTGAGGGAATCTTGTTTGTCAAAGTGTAAGACAGCATGTGTGTTTGGTGCTTTTGTGACATTCAATCAGTTGTTTATTATCTATGGTCATGGAAAACTAAAATATATTACAATTGCAATTAAAAACAGTTGACGCTTTAAAATATATATATTCACTGTAAATTCACAAAACGAGTCGATGTACGCAATTCACGTGTGCTATAGTCTGCGCTGCGCTTGCCAAACTGTGATATTTAGTTTTGACTTGCACCACTTTGCACACCCGTCCTGCCTAAGTGCCATATGAGGCGCGCTAACATGAACATTGAATACTGACACGTGTTGCGTTTGAAAGCCAATATAACACAGCTCAGTATTCAAAGGATCACGTGGGTTTTTTTTCCGTACCTATGCCACACATAAAGTACGTGTGCATTCATCAACACTCCCCGATATAAATTTCCGTAACGATCGATCAGTCACATGTCCAATACTTGCAACGGTATCGAGAACGCTGCGTGCACAGCATAACGCATTGAGCAAACAGAGTAACACTCTAGCCCATTTTGTTCTCGTTCAACTGTTGAATAATAATGAGCTTTCATGCTTGGTACAACTTAGTACGCCACACATCAGCGATAAGTGCCACTAGCACAATACCGAAGACACGACCCACTATCGATCTGTCATTGTACGGCAACTCTAAGCAGCTCGTGTAATGCCACTTTATTTCATGAAATGTGCATGGAAATATAATAAAACGGTTACAGGTCGTCAATATGAATAATTGAAAGTGGAGTATAATGTGTCAGATGAAGCTTCTAAAAATGCGCGAAATGGCGTATCAACTCGAGTCAGTGCAAAGTAGGAAGTATTAAATCGCAACACAGATGACAATGGCATGTGATGTGTAGAATGGAGCAACGGTATACATTGCTTATAGTATGTACGGATATTTTCCAACGTCGATGCATTGTAAGGCTTGATTAACGTCGCATATCATCATTATGGAGTAATTTGTAACTTGCTTTGTAGAACCCGAAATTAAAAACAGATGTAAAACAAGTTTTAATATGCTCGTAATTCCAACCCGAATAACATTTTATTTTATTGTATATCGTATCGCCCGCTAATATAATAATTTGAGCCTATGAAAGTATGAATAAACACGCTGACGTTGATTAATTCAACGATAAAACGTTATATGTATGTGTTTTTTCTATGAGTATTATATATGTATAAAATATTAGGAGACTTTACTTAGTTGCAATGGCTTCAACGGCTCAGTAGGAAATCGAGGTGGTAGCGTGATGAAATAATGCTGTAGATATGGATGTAGGATTGAATGAAAACGGTTGAAGCCATATGTAAATAATAGAGAGCATCTTTATCAGAACGACATGTTTCCCAGGCATCCTTAGTAACGGCTATGTGTTCAAGATTAGTACGTTGCTTTCCAAAATACCCGTGCGCTATTTTATCGAACCTCTGATTCATTGGTCGACCGAGGAATTGTATTTGCAAAATGGCTGGGTTTCGAACGGTTAATCACCTTTAAAACAACGTATGTGCGTAGAGAATCTGTGGGTTATATCGCCCCTATTGTCCTAGACGAGGGAGGAGGGATCAGAACGTATCACGCTTTCCGTTAACTTCCCATTGTTTCGCGTTGGACTTAATACTATATTCTATCAATAACCGGCCCTGTGTGCTGCAACAATATCGGTCAGAAGGTGACGGTTGGCCGACTACAGAACGTTATGGAAAATTACGTTACTGCACGCCGCTGTCGGCGGTTTGCATTCCCCGTCACTTCTCAGTTAATCATATCTTTGTTTCTGTTAATTTTCTATCGCTAGCGCGTTCGCTCTTTGCGTTGCGCTGATAGAGTTGGCTGCAAAAAGTAAGCTCAGGTTGAAGTAGATGCGTTTCTTTAGACGGCGTGGTCCCAGGTCAGGTGATACGCTAGGCGGAGGTTGTCAGTCAACGTGAAGGGTTATCTGGACCAGTCGAGCGTTCAGTAATGAACATGTCTCAATTACACAAATGCAGTCAACCAAATTTACCACTTAAATAATTTGTATACTTTTGAGACAATAATTTCAATGATCATTTTGAATAAGCCATAATTACAAAAAGAAAAAAAACAGAATAATTAATCTTCTCGATTGTTAAATTAGTTTTACACTTGTTTCATATCACGTTCTAGGTCACTCTTGTTTTTCATTGTTCCTGTTTCTACTGAGTTATAATTAACAATATGAGCCATTGGTTCATTGTTTGTCCGAAGAAGCCCATTTTAGTGTTAACGACTTCGGGGAATAAGACCTCTCCAATCACCACTGGAAGATAGTCTTTTAATAATTGGACGATTAAAGCATGATATGATCTTGATGAAAATAATTATATCTAAAGCTCACTAAATTAGAATGAACACGATTGTAGCGGGTGGGTCCTAGGGGGAGGGGGCGTGACGTGTGAAACTGTCACACCTAAACAGTGACTAATCCATTCTACTTACCTCTGCAATGGTCCCAGACCGCGTAACCAGGCGCTTAAAAGCAAAAACAATTTGTATAAATTTTTGATATTTGAACGATAAATGGTTTACTTCATAATTTGGACATTTTTTTCCGTTTCAATATTACCCAGTTTGTCCATGCATACCTCTATGAGAGTACACCCCCGGGCGCCGGATGTTCATAAAGTGAGATGGAACGTCGTCGTGCAAGCAACATTTCTCAAGCAGCACAGCTGGTTGTCAGTCGCATGTCATTAGTTTGTTTGCACACGGCGATCTTGGACAAACACCGGAAAATAAATAGCTAAGGAAGAGTACGAGGACGTAGCCGGATTTTGTTTGAGCAAGAGATAATGACTTCTGTGAACACAATGACAAATAAAAGGAAATTGACACAATTATCAGGTCGATAATCAGGTGTAAGCGATCCCAGTATAGGCAGATGGGGAGAAGTGAGGTCGACGCGATCATATCAAAAAGATGAACATCTATACTGTCTTCTGTCATCAATCATCAATCGTTCCCGACTGTTTCGCTTTGAAACTATTTTCAGATGAATTCACCGTAAACCATAATCTTATAAACAATAATAGTATTCAGAATATCTCTATAATTCCGGACAACCTGAGTACCAATAATGACATATTTTTTCAGGAATTTCAATGAAATTATGAAAAATGAAGAAACCATTTGACCATCGGAACCAATAATCAATGGCTCAATAATTGTCATTTTATTAGGGCTTGACACATTTTTCGTGCGAATAATAGTTCAGTGACAATAATTTTTACGGGATTTTGTGTGCAACCGCAAATGATATGGCCATATGGTAAAAGTCTTGCGATAACGACATAATTTGCACAGACTTTTGTCACTTTGTTTTATTTTTCCTCCAAGTACTAGTACAGGGCCAGCGATTTGTGCACTCATATGTCAAAAATTAGAACACACCAAAATAATCTTGCTGTTGGAAAACACGTAACGATTATTGAAGTCAGATTAATTGTCAACAAAGACTATGACACCGAAGACGGCCGTGACGGGATGTGTTCAACGAGTTTCCCTTCCATTTCCCTGTTTAGCCTGATTTCTCTACATGCATGGTAAGAAATCGAAAGTAAACGAAATACTTTTATTTAAATTAATAATCCATGACAGACCCCAGTGACAAGTTAACAATGCTGTTGGATGTGAAAACAAGCCACAGAAGAAATTAGATATTTTTTAATGTACTGCAACATATATTCCTAATCGACAGTTGAAGTTATATACACTATATTTCAATGTCCTAGTCATCAATTTAACTGCTGTATCTCACTAGCAAATACCTAATTCTCCAACTGATTAATTGTTAATCGATGCGCTATAGAAATCAACGCATTCAATACAAAAAAACAGTCGATTTAGACGACACTTTATGATTATATCAGTGGAGAATCATCATTACGCCGGAACTTCGTTAATAACTAGTTAATCATGATATTGAGGGGAATCACTTTTCACTGTTGTGTCAAAACCACATGATATCAACGGATGAAGGCAATGCGTACACGCGCAGTGTGAATCGTATTCATCCTAGTCAACGAACTACGAGGCGAATGTGTTTTCCAAACTACTTCAATGGTCTTATTGAATTGCAAACTATTATGAGTCATTTATGCTATTCCAATATATATATTTGAGTGGTGAATGTCGGTAAAAGCAAACCTTTGCCTCCGGCATGCGATGGCCTCTGTATGACACATGAAGTAATCTGACAATATTCGCACAATGCAACTCAATTATCATTCACCCCCACAAACGATCCTCGGGCGAGTTCATTTGAATCAACATCTATTCCTTCGAGAACATTTCAGAGCAATAATATACAATTATAAATATCCCAATTTTGTCTTTTACAACGATACTATTTCACAATCATCGAGAAATGAATGTACATCAAACAGGCATGCCGCTTTTAATTCAAGTTTTTAAAGATGTAATTACAGCAACATCAGCAACAGCGGCAACGGCAACAACAAACTGTTGCACCGGTTAATAATTTGTATGTCAGTCATTATACATGTTAACTAGAAACCAAAGTAATCGTGTAGATACAATACATCGCCCACAGTGACAATCCGTAAGATACTTAAGTTATTACCTGCTACATTCGTTAATTTCAAAAGAAATAGGGTTTCTTTAAATTCGTAAATTTCGTAACTGAACTATTTGTTACAAAGTTGTGCAACAACCGGAGGGTTTACCCCCCCCCCGATATTCTGCCATTGAGAAGTGTTCTTCCGCAACGCATA